GTCATTCACTTTGTTTCATTTCATTGCATTTGGTGACAATAAAGCGAATAAAATTTGTCATAAATCAAAAATTTATTATAATAAATTATAATACAAATACATATAATGACAATAGATGTTGTAATTTTGTGTATACGTGTGTGTGTGTCTATTTGCAACAAGGTAATGGGAAAATAGATTCGTTAAAATTCGAATAAAAAAAGTTTGTCATTGTAACAATGGAAACGGATCCGCATTACAGAATAATTTCAGGGGGTCAACATAAGGCGTGGATTTTTTAAAGAAAAATTTTCAGAGGGTGTCGTAAGGGATGATAGATACCAAGTAACGGTTTTGATTGGCTTTAACATGGTGAAGTCCAGGCTTATCTTGGTCCCTCTTTCATCTCAATTGTGGACACTGACCTCCCCAAGGTGCCACCTGGGGTAGCTATTTTTCATCACCCGCTGAAACAGTGAGCTAATTTGTACCGCGAGTTCACCCATAAGAACTTTAAAAAAATAGGTTGAGGCGTCGGGTTAGTTGCCCGCTCTCGGAAAACCCATCCTACTATGAAAAAGGAAAGAAAAAGGAAACCAAACCCTCCTAATGTTGCACTTGGAATGTGCGCACGTTGTACAGAACAGGCGCAGTGTTCGCTTTGGCGGATGTGCTCAAGAAGTACAAAGCCGATATTATTGCCTTACAAGAAATGCAATGGAAAGGGACTGGCGTAAGTAAATCAGATGATTACGACCTGTATTATAGTTGCCATGAAACGAGATATGAATTTGGCTGCGGATTTATGGTTAATAGGAAAATAAAAGACCTCGTATCCAGATTCACTCCAGTAGATGAGCGAATTGCTATAATCCTTACAAAAGCGAAGTTCTTCTACATCAGTCTCATTTGCGCCCATGCTCCGACCGAAGATAAAGATGAACAGACCAAAGACATATTTTACGAGCGCCTAGAAACAGCATATAACCGTTGCCCTGGACATCACATTAAAATTCTGCTAGGAGATTTTAATGCAAAAATCGGAAGGGAAAATATTTTTGGCCGCACCGTCGGAAAATTCAGCCTCCATGAAGAAACATCAGACAACGGCATGAGATTGATTGACTTCTCGGCAGCATAAAACATGGTAGTTAGCAGCACCAGATTCAAGCATCTCGATATACACAAGCCCACTTGGATTTCTCCCGATCGAACAACGAGAAATCAAATCGATCATGTTGTAATAGACGGAAGGCATTCATGCAGTTTTTTAGACGTCCGATTGATCCGGGGAGCGAATATCGATTCGGATCATTAGCATGTGGCAGTTAAGGTACGAACCCGTCTTAATGTAGCAGCAAAGGAGCGATCTAACACAACACAGAAACTCGACGTCGAAAAGCTGCAAACACAACAGGTAGCCGAGGCCTACTCCGCTCAACTTACCCAACTGCTTGACGAAATCACCCCTTGTCCCGAAGAAGCACAATGGCAGAGAATTGCCCACTCCCTACAAACTGCAGCAAAAGCAACACTTGGGTACCAAATACCACCATCAAGAAATCCGTTGTACGATCAGGAGTGCCGTAATGCGTATGGGGCAACCCTGCGGACAGTAGCAATACGTAATGCGATGGAGAACTATCAGGAGAAAAGGACAGAGGAGAAACGTATTTTCAGAAAAAAGAAGAAAGTGCAAGAAAAACGTGAGCGTGAGCAAATCGAGATGTACAAGAGACACAATGAAGTCCGAAAATTCTACCAACGGGTAAAACACCAAACCGAAGGCTTTGGTGCAGGCACATCCTGCTGTATAGATAAAAAAAGAAACCTGGTGACATATACAGACAGCGTGGTGAGGATCACGAAGGAGCATTTTGAAAAGCGTCTGGTTTCAAATAGTAGCAGTGAAGTGGATACCCCAGAACCAATAATAGATGACGGTATACAGTGTATACCACCTAGCCAAGATGTAGTCAGAATATCAATCAATCGGCTGAAGAATAATAAAGCAACAGGTGCCGATGGGTTACAAGCCGAACTATTCAGAACTTGCGGTCTGATGCTGGTAAGGTCCGATGCTGGTAAGGAGCATAATACAATTTGGCTAGAAGAATGCATGTCCAATGATTGGAACCTCAGTATCCTGTGTCCCGTGCACAAAAATGGAGACAAGACGATATGTGCCAACTATAGAGGAATAAGTCTTCTTCCCATCGCATATAAAGTGCTATCCAGTTTGCTGTGTGAACGACAGAAGCCAATGGTCAATGACATTATTTTACCATACCAATATGGCTTCATACCAGGCAAATCCACCATTGACCAGATTTTCACTACCCCAAATCCTGGAAAAAAACCCACGAAAAACACATCGACACATTCCACCTATTCGTCGACTATAAAGCCGCATTCAACAGCCCTATCCGTTCAGAGGTGTATAAATCCATGTCTGCGTTTGGCATTCCTGCATAATTAATTCGGCTAATCAGGATAACTATAACAGGCACAAGATCAGCAGTTAAAGTTGGAAAGGGCCTCTCGGAGCCCTTTAATAGCGAACGAGGATTCAGACAAGGTGACAGTTTGTCGTATGACCTTTTTAACATCCAGCTGGAAAGGGTCATACGAGAGGTAAAAGTAAACAGAAATGCCACCCTCTACATCAAACAACACATGTTACTCGCCTACGCCTACGCCGATGACATCGACATAATGGGTCGAACAGTGAGAGCGATAACAACCACCTTTGAACAAATTGAGAAGATGTCTGCCAAAGGGTGTCTGGCAGTAAAGGGCGAGAAGACCAAGCTGATGGTATCAACGCGCAAGCCGTCTAGTGACTCGGACCAACTGTGGAACTTGAGAACTACGGCTTCGAGGTAGTCAAAGATTTTATATACCTTCGCACCGCCATAAATAAAACGAATGACATCAGTTTTGAAATTCGAAGAATGATAGTGATGACCAACCGATGCTACTATGGTCTGAGCAAATAACTCAAAAGCAAGGCAACCTCGCACTCTACAAGACGCTGATACTGCCCGTGCTGTTATATGGATTTGAAGCAAGGGTACTTGCGTAATCAGATGAGGCCACTCTTGAAGTGTTTGAGAGAAAAATTCTCCGAAAGATCTATGGGCCGATCTGCGTTGACGGTGAATATCGCCGTCGAATGAACCATGAGTTGCACCAGCTATTCTCGGACATCGACGTTGTTAGACAGGGAAGGCCATGAATACGATGGGAAGAACAGGTCGAAGGCAACATTGCTGAAAATAGTCTTTCAAATTGGGAAAACTGCACAAAATTTTTTCTAAGCTCGGCTTATGGAACGAAAGTTCTGAAGAATATCTTTCTAGAGCCTATCACAAGGCGAGGATTTTTTAAAGAATATTTTTCTAGAGGCTATCACAAGGCGTGGAGTTTTTCTACCCTTTACCACACTCTGGTACAGGGTATTATGTCTTTGTGCTTATGTTTGTAACAGACAAAAGGAAACGAGATAGACACATGGTTCCTTTTTAGAATATGCATAGAATCACTTTTTAAGTCGATTTATGCATGCCCGTCCGTCCGTCTGTCCGTACATGTATTTTTGTGATCAAAGTACAGGTCGCATTTATGGTCTGATTTGGATGGAATTTGGCATAGGGCAATTATTTGTCCCAAGGACGAACCCTATTGAAATTGGGAAAAATCGGTCCAGATTTAGATATAGCTCCGACATATATTTTCGTCCGATTTAATGTAAATGGTGTACCAATGTCCCTATATATCGTTCGACTTGCACAAAATTTGGCAGAGCGTAATAAATTATGTCTAGAATGATGTGTGTTAAGTTTCCTGGAAATCGGTCCAGATTTAGTTATAGCTCCCATATATAAAATCTCCCATATATAAATTTTCGTCCGATTTAAGGTAAATGGTGCACCAAAGACCTTATATATCTTTCGATTTGCACGAAATTTGGCATAGCGTACTGAATTGCGTCTATAATAATGTGTGCAAAGTTTCGTGAAAATCGGTTCATATTTAGATATAGCTCCCATATATTTTCATCCGATTTTAGGTAATTGGTGCACCAAAATCTCTGAAATTCATTCGATTTGCACGAAATTTGTCATAGCGTTGGTGCACCAAAGTCCCTATATATCTTTCGATTTGCACGAATTTTGGTATAGGGTACTGAACTAAGTCTAGAATGATGTTGCTAAGCTTCGTGAAAAGATCCATTTCTAGGCCGATTTACACAACGTACTGATGTTATATAAATTAGTCTCTGGCAAGTTTCCCTGAAATCGGTTCAGATATATTCTACATATGTTAGGATACATATATGTAGAATATACCCAAAGTGGTGAAGGGTATCATATAGCCGGCCCAGTCCGACTTTACTACTTTCCTTACTGGTTAAAGAATATTTTTCTAGAGGCTATCCATAGTCCCTGAAAAAAATACTTTAAAAAATCCAGGCCTTATGGTAGTCCCTGAAAAAAATATATTTATAAAATCCACGCTTTTTGGTAGTCTTAACAAAAGACTTAAGACACATACTTCATTCGATTTTTTTTTCTTTGGCAAAATCTCATTAAAATAATTTTTATTTGTTATCATTTCAATAATCCATGATATTGCAAATTTATGCAATGGAACGCACTTAAAATTGACCAACATAAACATTTATGAGACCCATGGGGTATTCCATTTAATATCGATGATGATGAAGGCGATTGCTGCTGTGATTTTTTGGCCAAAAATCATTTGCTTTATTACCACCAAATGTCATTTTGGTATTCAGTTAACATTTTTCTTAGGTTCAGTTTTTTTTTTTTTTTTTTTTTGATATGTCATTGGGTCAGGGCTTTGTTGAGATATTCTAATGTGTGTGTGGGTCTTTGAATGCCCTGACTGGCATTCATGTGTAAAAGGCCAAATGATGATGATGACCAACATCATCAGAAGAAGTCCAATAAATTTAAATGTTATTTTTCGATTTTTATTTTATTTTTTGGTTCGAGTTACTAGACCAAATCAATTTTTCAAATGTATTTTTTCAAATCACTAATCTATTCCCCTCTTGTTTTTCCACCCCTCTCTCTCTCTCCCCTACTAGATATTTCGTTTCCAATGTCTTGCAATTTCAAATCTATCGTGGCATGTGTCGTGCTGCTGGTCAATATGATCCCAATGATCCCCGCAAACCGTTGCACAAATGTGATGTCTATCGTCATCCGGAGGCTGGCAATTTATTAAAGTGAGTCTTGACAATTCTATTTGCGAACGAAATTGTTAACAATTTTGTGTGCGATCTAATGAATTGCTATTCTCTTGTTACAGAAAAATCATGTCCAAAGGCTCCTCACAACCGTGGCAGGAAATCATGGAAGAAGCATTGGGCGAAGGCCGTCTCGATGGTTCGGCACTGCGTGAATATTTTGCTCCCCTCGAGGAATGGTTACGTTTGGAGAATTTGCGTACCAATGAATATGTAGGCTGGAATTATGACGGTGATTATTGTAAGCGAAGTATCGAAACGGCCAATCTGCAAGTGTTCGGTGGCTACTATAATCATGGACAATCATCACGACTGGTGTCGAAGCTGGTCTTTATATGTGTAATTTTTTCATCTATACTAGCATTAGTTTTTTAAACGAAGTGTGTAATTTAAGTTTTGTTTTTAATTTTATTATTTTGTAATTTAATACTAATCGCCCAGTCATTTAATTCACTTAACTAAAGTTATTAATAAAAAATAGTTTAAAAAATAAAAAAGGTGGTTTGGAATTTAATAAAAAGAAGGAGGTAAATTTTTTATACCCTTCACCACACTGTGGTACAGGGTATTATGTATTTGTACATATGCTTGTAACACATGGTTCCTTTTGAGAATATTCATAGAATCACTTTTCATGTAGATTCATGCATGTCCGTCCCTCCGTCTTTCTGTCCATGTTAAATTGTAAACAAAGTACATGTCGCATTTATGATCCGAATTGGATGAAATTTGGCACAGGTCACTTATATAGATCCCATATATATTTTCGTTCGATGTTATGATAGTGGTGTACCAAAGTCCCTATATATCATTCGATTTGCACGAAATTTGACATAGTATAATGAATTAAGTCTACAATTATGTGTTTTAAGTTTCCTGAAAATCGGTTCAGATTTAGATATAGCTCCCATATATATTCTCGTCCGAATCAATGTAAATAGTTTACTAAAGTCCCTATATATCTTTCGATGTGCACGAAATTTAACATAGCGTACTGAATTAGGTCTAGAATGATATGTGTTAAGTTTCCCGAAAAATCAATTCAGATTTAGATATAGCTCTCATATATATTTTCATCCGATTTAAGATAATTGGTGCATCTAAGACCATATATATCTTTCGATTTGCACGAAATTTGACACAGCGTACTGAATTAAGTCTAGAGTGATGTGTGCAAAGTTTTGTGATGGGAGATTTAGATAGCTCCCATATATAGTTTCGCCCGATTTTAGATAAATAGTCCACTAATGTCCCAAAATATCTTTCGATTTGCTCGAAATTTGGCACAGTGTACTAAATTAAGTCTCGCAAGATGTGTGTTTCGGGAAAATCGATTTAGATATAGATATGGCTCCCATATATATTTTCGTCCGATTTAATGTAATTGGTGCACCAAAGTCCCTATATATCATTCGATTTGCACGAATTTCGGTATAGGGTACTGAATTAAGTCTGCTTAGTTTCGTGAAAATCGGTTCAGATTTAGATATAGCTCCTATATATATTTTCGTCCGATTTTATGTAATTGGTGCACCAAAGTCCCTATATATCTTTCGATTTGCACGAATTTTGGTATAGGGTACTAAATTAAGTCTAGAATGATGTTGCTAAGCTTCGTGAAAAGATAAAAAGCTAGACCGATTGACACAATGTACTGAAGTAATATAAATTAGTTTCTGGCAAGTTACCCTGAAATCGGTTCAGATCTAGATACATAACAAAATCGCGACGTCTGTTAGGATACATATGTACAATATACCCAAAGTGGTGAAGGGTATCATGTGGTCGGCCAAGTCCGACTTTACTACTTCCCTTACTGGTTTAATTGGTTTTGTTAAACCAATTTTTAAGCCACCCATAAGGCGTGGATTTTTTAAATAATTTTTTTTAAGCCAATTTTTAAGCCACCCATAAGCCGTGGATTTTTAAATAATTTTTTTCAAGCCACCCATAAGGCGTGAATTTTTTAAATAATTTTTTTTCAAGCCACCCATAAGGCGTGGATTTTTTAAATAATTTTTTTTCAAGCCACCCATAAGGCGTGGATTTTTTAAATAATTTTTTTTTCAAGCCACCCATAAGGCGTGGATTTTTTAAATAATTTTTTTTCAAGCCACCCATAAAGCGTGGATTTTTTAAATAATTTTTTTTCAAGCCACCCATAAGGCGTGGATTTTTTAAATAATTTTTTTCAAGCCACCCATAAGGCGTGGATTTTTTAAATAATTTTTTTTCAAGCCACCCATAAGGCGTGGATTTTTAAAATAATTTTTTATAAGGCGTGGATTTTTTATAAAATTTTTTTTCAAGCCAATTTTTAAGCCACTCATAAGGCGTGGATTTTTTATAAAATTTTTTTTTCAAGCCAATTTTTAAGCCACTCATAAGGCGTGGATTTTTTAAATAATTTTTTATAAGGCGTGGATTTTTTAAATAATTTTTTTTCAAGGCTAACAAAATGAGTGGATTTTTTAAATATTTTTTTTTAAGGCTAACAAAAGGCGTGGATTTTTTAAATATTTTTTTTTCAAGCCAATTTTTAAGCGTGGATTTTATACAGTGAAATTTTATACAGTTAACATATTTGGCTCAAGGACGAACCCTATTGAAATTGGGAAAAATCGGTTCAGATTTTAATTTTATATATTTTCGACCGACTTCGTTTTAATTGAGCTCCATGATATTTGCTTTTAATCGATTTACACAATTCTGTCCCATTTTAACAAACAAATGATATGTTTATGGATTGATCTAAGTCGGTTCACATTTATATAATACATATTTTAGTTCATCCATTTCCTTGTTATTGGCCCTTCTGTTAGGATGCATCTTTTTATTATGCCCATAGTGGTGAAGGGTATCATGTAGTCGGCTCCGTCCGACTTTACTACTTTCCTTACTGGTTTAAATTATATTTTTCCACGGCTACATAAGACGTGGATTTTTAAAATAAATTTGTTTTTCAAGCCACCCATAAGTCGTGGATTTTTCAAATAATTTTTTTTCCAAGCCATCCAAAAGGCGTGGATTTTTTTTAAATTATGTTTTTTGCATAACATATTGTAGCAATGGAGTTAATCGAAATCACATTACAACTGGAGTGCTAACATTTTTTGTGGGGTGTTGCCAAAACTGCTTCCAAAACGCACAACTGCTGTTTTTTTATCCTGTCTCTATTCGTGTTCTGGCTTAGACTTGTTTCACGCATTGTTGTAATGCCAGACAAATGCTAGCCAAATCGATCGACGTGTATGTGATATGCCTCCCTTACCCCTGGCATTGACATTGATTCGAATGCATTTAGAACGTATATTTTTATGGCAATTTGTCAAATTGAATTTGAAATTTCGCAACTGAAACAAAAAACATGTTTAGGCGTTTGTCAATATTAGATTTATATGAGAACGTAACAAAACAGAAAAAAAACGATGAGTTTTCAAACGAAAACGGAAGTAGAAATTTATTTTCTTTTTTTTTAAGTTTACTTTTTTCGTTCTATTCAATTAAGATATATTAAGTAATTTATTTGTTAATTATAGGAGAGATAAAATAGCAATTTATGTGAAACAGTTAAAACGATTTATAATAAACTCGTTGGGGAATATGAAAAAACAACAGTTGGCACAAAAAATAATAAATTACTTACTTAGCTGGTTTGTTACAGAACGGTTGTTCCATAAGCCGAGTTTAAAAAAGGTTTCCAAGCGCGTCAATCTTTTGCGCAAATCCACCAATTTGGAAGACCACGTTCCAAGATGTTGTTTTCTACTTGTCTTTCCATCTAATTCGTGGCCTTCCCCTTCTACGGGAACGGGAATCAGTAGGCTCGTTTTTATATGCCTTTTGTGCTGGGGCATTCTCATTCATCCGCACAACATGGACTAGCCACCGTGGTCGCTGCAGCTCAATACGACTGACTATGTCGATGTCCGCGTATAAATTGTAAAGCTCGTGGTTCATTCGACGCCGATATTCACCGTCGACGCAGATCGGCCCGTAGATCTTTCGGAGAATTTTTCTTTCAAACACCCCAAGAGCTGCCTCATCTGCTTGCGCAAGTACCCATGCTTCTTATCCATATAATAGCACTGGTGGTATCAGCGTCTTGTAAAGTGTGAGTTTTGTCTGGCGGGAGGTGGTCTTGTTTCTAAACTGCTTACTTAGACCATAGTAGCATCGGTTGGCCATGACAATCCTTCTCCGAATTTCAAAACTGATGTCTTCTTCGTCGCGACTATTTGATACTAGAAGCTTTTCGAAATGCTCCTTCCAGATCCTCAACACGCTGTCTGTATCTGTCACCAGGTTTCCTTCTTCATCTCTATAGGAGGATGTGCCTGCGCCAAAGCCTTCGGATTGGTGTTTTACTCGTTGGTAAAATTTCCGGACTTCATTCTGATTTGCTCACGCTCATGTTTTTCTTGTTCTTTCTTCTTTTTTCTGAAAACACGTTTCTCCTCTCTCGTTTTCTCCCGATAATTCTCCATCATGTTACGTGTTGCTACTGTCTGCAGGGTTGCCCTATACGCTGCGTTTTTCACATCAGTAGCATTACGACACTCCTGATCGTACCATGGGTTTCTTGGTGGTGGTTTTTGGTACCCAATTGTTCCTTTTTCTGCAGTTAGTAGGGAGTGGGCAATTTTTTGCCATTGTGCTTCTATACTATTATCGGGACAAGAAGTGCTTTCTTCAAGCAGATGAGTGAGTTGTGCGGAGTAGGCCTCGGCTACCTGTTGTGTTTGCAGCTTTTCGACGTCGAGTTTCCGTGTTGTAGTAGATCGCACCTTTGCTGCAACATTAAGACGGGTGCGTACCTTGGCTGCCACAAGGTAATGGTCCGAATCGATATTAGCTCCTCGGATCGATCGGACGTCTGAAACACTGGATGAATGCCTTCCGGCTATCACAACATGATCAATTTGATTTCTCGTTACTTGATCAGGAGAGATCCAGGTGGCCTTGTGTATATAGAGATGCTTGAATCTGGTGCTGCTAACTACCATGCTTTTTGCTTCCGCGAAGTCAATCAACCTCATGCCGTTGTCGGATGTTTCTTCATTTTCCGACGGTGGGGTCAAAGATATTTTCCCTTCCGATTTTTGCATTAAAATCTCCTAGCAGAATTTTAATGTCATGGCCAGCGGTCATATGCTGTTTCTAGGCGCTCGTAAGATATGTCTTTGGTCTGTTCATTTTTATCTTCGATCGGAGCATAGGCGCAAATTAGAGTGATGTAAAAGAACTTCGCTTTTATACGGATTATAGCAATTCGCTCATCTACTGGAGTGAATCTGGAAACAAGGTCTTTTATTCTCCTGTTAACCATAAATCCGCAG